TTCCAGTCCTCAAATTATATGAGAAATAATTGCTGTCAAATTGTATGCTCCAGTCATGCTCCAGTCTTTACATATCGTCACACATCGAGTTCTACCATAATTTCTACTCAGCCCCACATGGCCAAAAACACCAATAACACCTTCAGCAGAAAGCTCTTCTCGGCTCCAATTTCACCACCACTAAGACAGAAGACTGTACAAAAAATCAGGTGAAGCTTGAGACCCTGATTTGTGGCCCGGCAGTGCAGGACCATTGGCATAACATCCAAGTCTTAGGAGGAGGAATAGCCGTTCCGAAGATTTCATGAACTGTCAACTCGGTTGTGATCCAGAATCACAAGAGTGTATCAAATGACGAGATGTTTTGTGGTGGTTTCATGAAGCTTTTCACGAATTGGCAGGGAGCAACCAGAGGTGCAGGTGAATGTTAATCGACGAATGTGGGTACCTCGGGCGATCTACCGAGGCTCCAAAGCACTAACAATACTAGTGTTGTTGTTACTACTTGATGAATGTGCCCCCATGGAAGGGTATCACCAAATCACCAAATCAATAGACCTTTATGACACAAGTTAGGATCTTCAAACCATGAACCGCTAGACTGACCTGAATTGCTGCAAAATTAGAGTAGAAGACATGAACTGGTACTGACTCGTTGAATACGACAGTTGCTGTACAATGTGGTAAATGGCCATGTTAAGCTTACGTTGTTCTAGCCACATGAGTGCTGACGTGCGTGTTGTTCTCGGAGAAGATGTGAGGCAACCCAAAGTCGGTCTACTTTAGGATTGATGTCTTAATCCAAAAGAATGTTGTTGGCTTTGATATCGCAATGCACAATCCAGGTGTGATATCCTTCGTGCAAGTACGCCATACCATGCACCGTTCCTTCCAAAATCTTGAGAATTGTTTTCCAATCTAAGGTAGTCTTTGGCGTATTTGCAAGGGATGGGCGGTAAAGCTCCCAGACTAGGGTATCCTATCCGCAAGCAAAGACTTTCTAGACTTGAAGACAAATACAAACTGGACTGAAATGTGGATCCTCTAACCTTAGGAACTGCTCGATCAAGTGCGTCATATCAGATATTTATTGCAAAGGTAGTTCTCAATGACAAACGCAATCGCTTAGAGTTTATCTATAAACACGTTTGTGTTGCCCTAAATTGTACTGCTTATGCGTTACATTTCTGACCGTAGAAAACCAGCCATTTCTATGAACAACCTATAGTTACTGTGCACACATGCCCCAAGTCCTAAGCCAATTACAGTTTGTTACCCACCAAATATGGCATGGTGAAGGCTCTGGTTTTCCAGGTAATCGTAGACAAGTAGCCCCAATTCGCCTTTGAGGCAACATCTCCAAAGGTGGACAAGATTTTGGTGCTGCATGCTAGTAATCATCGTCACTTCGTTGAGAAATTTGTCGATTTTTTGTTGAAACTTAGCTGACAGCTGCTTCATTACCATCTGGTAATACTCTCTGATGCCATTCCGACTAGAAAATCTTGAGAAAAGATAAGGAAATAATCACAAAATAAATGACAACATTCTGGGGCCATTGTGTCACCTACACAAAACTTCAGTTCGTCTTACAAAAAACAAAAAGCCCTTAGTGTTCAGGGCCCAAAACTGTCATATTTCTAGAAGGCTCCATGTACCTTAAAGACGGAGCCAAACCACCTCTCTCCAAGCTTATTTTCCGGATTGAAATTCTGCGTGGCTTGTCGTAGAACATGGTACGGATATGGTGTAGGCTTACCTTCCATATTTCTAATATCTGCAAATGACATTCACGAGTTCATGTTAGAGGAAGGTGAATTTACAGAAACATGCGAGGTTTGCAATCCACACCTTTCAAAAACTCTGACAACACAAAACGGAGGGTAATTCTTCAGATCCATTCATAAATTTTGCACATGTTTTGAGGTCTGCGAACGACAATGTGTTAGCACATGGGTCTGTGCTGGGTGCCAATAGCCTGTTAATGTTAGCATTGCAAGTATAATCCAGAAGGAGTGCGGGTATGGGAGCTTGAGCATAGACTACAACCAAAAATGCTAGAGCTAATGCCATCATCGTACTGAACCCATCGTCTGCATGTTGTTTCAAAATCCATTATAACCCAGTGTAGTGCTCAACAACAACAATGTTTGTCGCTAACTTTGGAATCTAGTAACTCTTGACAAAGGCTCCTTCAAATCCAAGGCTCACTTCATTTGTTTTGTTAGACTATGCACTACGAGATGGCCCACCCAACCAACAGCATGCGGTCTTCTCTAGAGGTATCAATCAGAACTGCGTGCTTCATGTTGTAAGCTGTCGCTAACATTTATGCTTTTCATATTATCTACACGAGCATAGGTATATCAAAATTTAAATTAGAAAGACACAAATAAATATATTGAAAAAAATCTTAGTTCAATAGAGTTTGAATATTATAAATTTGTAAAAAATAATAATAATAATATAAAGAAATATCAAATTTTTATCAAATGCTAAAATTTTACTTTAAATACACATTATCAGTTATTGTGATTTATCACTGATTTATGTTTAAAAATCGAGTTAAAAAAATATTTAAGAAACTAAAGTAAAGTAAATGTAAAGACGTTTTTTAAATTGTAATATTTTATAACAAAATTCGCCTCAAGAACTTCTACATTAAATTGGCCTCAAAAACTCCTAGATTGTCATTAGTCTTGCTTCTGTGTTAAAATTTTCAATAAATATTATGTGGGAAGTTTATAATTGTCTTCTAGTCATTTTTATTTTCTTTGCTGAATAAATAAAGTAATTACAACAATAAATTTGGAAGTTTATAATAATAATAATAATAAAATAAAATAAACTAAATACTTTAGATTATAAAATTCACAATTTACAAAAGTAGTGTAGAAATATTTTATCTTTAATTTTTTTATTTATGAAATAAATATCAATTATATTTAAAGAGTAAAAAAAATAGTATAAAAACACTTGAATGATGTGATATGACCTTGGAAAGAAAAATATAGAAAATGATATTTTGAACCATTTGAATTTATTAAAATCAGTATTATAAAAATATTATGGAGAATTAGCAATGATTATATATATATATATATATACATGCATATATACTTAAAAAATATATTTATCAATAATCATTGTTTTATTACTATCATTACCTAACAATTCTATAACTCAACAAGCAATGTTCTATTGATGTCATTACCATCAAATGTAATGTTTAATAAACTAATTACAGATGAAACTAAATTTCCAACAAGTTTTGTTCTCTTACAAATGTTATCTCAAACCCTTTTGACATTCGCAACAATAAATACAAACCATATGTATTTTTTTTATTTATTATTTCATTTAGTCAATTAGATGATATATAAAAAAGAAAAAAGAAAAAAGAAAACCTATACAGAGCACAGCAGCACCTTTTTCCTGCAAAAGTATGTAACCCCACGTCATTCAACCATATAATCACACACTTTGGTTATCATGTCTCATTTTTACTTTAATGTTTTGTTTTGTATGTTGGATTAACAGCGGAAACTGAATGCACTGACCTCATGAACGAACGATGCACTAACGAGAAACTGTCATCCAATAGAAAAGCCACACACCTATCCATAGGCATATTCATCCATAACAGCATTCATCCACATAGCTGTCCATCTGATCATCCATTCATCTACCTCATCCACCGCGGGCTTACTTTTTCATCGTGGATCGAGATTCGAGCGGATGCGGTGTGAACGGAGAGCGGGGAGCATTCCGCTGCAGTGCGAGGCAGAGGCAGGGTGGAAGGGAGAGATGGAGGGAGAGGGGGAGCATGAAGCAGTGAGTGGGAAGCATGGGGGATGGCGTCATGGAGGAATGCTGGAAGAATCTAGATGCTTTGTGAGGGAGGCCCTGCCAGTGCTCGCACTGCTTCTTCACATGGCTCTTCAAGCTTTTGGGTCCAGAGAAGAGGGATGAAGGAAGGGCTTCAGTTGGCGCTCTGACACCCCGAATGACCTGGCTTGATCATCTTCTTCATCTGCTTCACATGATGACGCCGTTTCTTTCTCGTCTTCTTCTTCTTCTTCTTCTTCATTCCATCATTTCTGTTACTCATACCTGGATCATGGTTGGGCGTACATTTACTTGAGATGCACATGAGGAAATAAAAAAACAGTAAGGTGAGGAAGGGTATTTTACCTCACAGGAGTAGTAAGTGCAGCGTGACTGTAGGTGCTAGGCGTTGATCATCCCGACCATGATTAGTCAGGAATCCTGTATTGATAGGTTTCACATTCCATTTCGGAAGATTTTATAATTTTTATTGAGGCTGAAGGAATGGGGCACAAAATGTCCAACAGTTGTCGTCACTGGAAGTGCCCCCACAGGTTTGGTCTAGCTGGTACCGGGCGGCGTTCAGAGCAAAATTGAGGTAGAAATCTAGTGGGAACTGGGGCACCAATCACTTTCTACCTCCGTGTTCTCACGTGTCACATGTCACTCTTTAGACATCAAGAAAATCTGGTAGTTGTCAAGGTCAGAAAATCTGTCGGTTGTAGGAAATGCTGCGTTCATTAATCTGATGTGGATAAATTTTGAGAATCTTGACCTTTGAAGAATAGCAGCGGATTCAAATCATTCTAGGTTTGCATATTCCAAAATTTAGCATGGATAATCCAAGCTTGGTTAAACAACTCAGGGGATTTACTCGAAAAGGACCACACGAAGCTCAGAGATCGGAAAGAATGAGAAGATGGAGAATTAAGTGCTGATGTCACCAAGTTTTTGGTCATTTTATCTATTACATATTATTATAAAAATGATGTGGTGCTTGTATGTTAGAAGTAGGTAGGAGGGGGTCTATAATAATCTCAGTACTAGGATCCAGGTTAACGCTCCAGTACAGTTTAGCTTTTCTCTTTATGTCTGCGCAGAATATGTCAGGGAGCTGCACTGAAGGCCCCCCATGCTCCTTGGTGTTCATCGCACCAACACCGTAGGGTCTAGAGTATTCAGTTTGTCAGGGATAGTTTTCTTCTATGGATATGGGTAAATTGCGATTACAGCCACTGAATTTGCGTATGGGGAGTAGAACTTCACCGAAGCGTTTCCTCTACGAAGACTACAGTTGATGCTTGCCACAGAGGGTGATCAAGCTGTGCCCATTTAGGTTCATGTACTGAAACGGAGACAACGGTGCTTTCGCCTGATCGCTGCTTAGTGCCGTAAACATCCAGGCCTTCGCTATGAGGGCACTTGCAGGTGGTTTCCACAGCATTGATTGATAGGAGTCATTCCGAAGGATCCTTCAATTTATCTCTCTCTCGACTGCTTTGACTGCTCATAGGGAGCTGCTGGCTTTCCAAGCTGTCACCGTACGTATTGTTGTTGCCCAGCTCGATTCTATTCCTAATTGCTGTCTGAGGTCCCCACTCATTCTGACTAGTCACACTCATTCACGATGTCAGGGGGGAATAAGGTTTTTGAGATCACAGTGATGGGTAGTGGTGGCAGCAAGAGATGTTCTTAGTGACGGCATTACCTTCCTGCGAGACTCCTGCCCTTCGTCTAGTTTCTCAGCTGTATTGAGCACACTCTGTTGGGATTTTGATTTGGGTACAAGGCATAGTGTGAGAATAATTCCTTGAAGGAGCTGGATATTTTCTCATCACCTGCATGCTCAAGAGTACTTTCGTTGTAGAGTAGTTCAGGAGAACTGTCTATTTGAGCGAGAGATACTAGGTAGCTAGAATGATGACGGAAGTCCGGCAATGGCCGGCATTGATGAAGCTTCTCCCCCAGGTTACGATGATATTCGTGCTCTGCTCTTGGGGCGTACCGATTTTAGCAATCTCATTGCCTGACGAAGGTGAGTGAATTCACTTGCGTACGCTGCATCGATTCTATTGTGACCTTAAGTTTCTACTCAGTATTTTTGTTTCTTGAAGGGATGACGGATGGCTAAGGTACAAGAATACCATGTAAGTGGTGGTGTTGAGTACCCAATCGATCACTCATGTTTTTAGATTCCGGCTTCGAAGATGTTGACGTTCCTACAGTTCCACGACTTCTTATTTTTTTCATAATGCTTGAAAGTGATACTTTAAAGCATTGTTTATACATCCCTGAAATCACTTGCACCGCCTTGAAACTTTTATGAGTGATCTTGCAGCATTGCTACAGAAGCTGGACTAACAGCTTTGTCAGCACAACTTTAACACGCAATGAATCTTCAGGGTTCGAGATTCACAACTACCAAGGTTTTGCAACTGTTTAAAGGAATACGTTAGAGTACGTTTCAAAGTGTGCCTGATGTTCCTAAACGTACTAATCTTCGTAACAGTAACTTAGTTCCCCTGAAATTTCTACAATCAGCTCATGTCACAAACTGTGTTGTTGCTTGCAGTGCACATTCTTGTGAACATTAAGGCGACATTTGTGAATGGTGAGAAGGAGCTGGAAGACTGGAGCGTGGGAAGCCAATCTCCGTGTGAATGGACGGGTGTGACCTGCAACAACGTTACTTTCGAAGTGACAGCACTGTAAGTTGATTTTGCAGATTACACGGTGTCTCACCTCTTGGGGTTTAGCGTTTGTGCGCTCCAGAATGAAATGGTGCTTGTTTGCTAAGGCTACACTATGTACAAGTTCTGTTCAAGCTTTTCAGCTCAGTGTATCACTCTAAAAGGAACATTTAAACTCCAAAGCTTTGCTTAAAATGACACTTTCTAAGTCTCGTTAGTTGTTTTCTCTTACCTTTGAGTGCGCAGAAATTTGTCGGCACTAGCCCTTGGAGGAGAGATCTCTCCGTTGATTGGACTCTTGGAAAGCCTTCAAGTCTTGTGAGATCCTCTCAACACTGACTTTTACACCCCCACGCTTCAGAATTTTGATAAAGTCTGAATTTAAAGGTTCAGAACGTCGTAAGTAGGATGCCATATACCAAGCGCTTCATAGAGGAAAATGTTGAATTGTGCCAGTTCATCATTAAACCAAGTGAAGAGCTACTGACTCAAGCTAATCCATGCCGGAACAATTTATCTAGTGCAGCGAAGCGAAAATTCCTCACGGAGCACTCAAATCTGTGCTTTCAATTCTGGCAGGGACCTCAGCGGTAACAATATATCTGGACAAATTCCGGTTGGAATCTGCAACTGCACGAACTTGATCCATTTGTAAGTACCAATTTTGGAGAGTTGCCCAACAGCAAGAACAATGTGGTCATCAAGCAGCACAATCGCCTACCTTGTCTATGGCTTTGGTGTCCGTATCATATGGTGAACCGTTAATGCGACACCTCACAGTTTGCATTGCAGGATTTTCAGTTGCATATTTGAAAAACGGAGGAAGGAAAATATTTTTTCTACGTTTCTGGTTGTCTGTAAATCAATATGAGTCGTCCTAGCGAGTTTCCCAGATATCAACTGCGTTCCAATTTCAGTGACGAGTTGTTTTTTGAGCTTTCTTGGTGTGTGGCATAGGACCCACTAGTCAATGGTGTTCGCTTTGGTTGCAGAGATTTGTCTTCGAATAAACTCGTTGGCGAGATTCCATATCTTTTATCGCAATTGCAGCTGCTTGAGTTCTTGTAAGTTAACCGTAACATCTTTTGTATCTCATTATGTGCTGAATTTTTGCTCCAGCTGTACAAGTACGTTCTTGGTTTTGTTGCATCAATTCTCTTCTATGTCTTCGAAGTCAAGGCACTTAGAGTTTAGCGTCTGAATTGTTGATAGTTGCGGTGTAGGAATCTGAGGAGTAACAAGCTTTCGGGTTCCATTCCTTCCTCGTTTGCTGGCCTGCCAAATCTGCGACACTTGTAAGCAGAACTTCTGTCCTCACTAACCTTATAATGTTTTGAATGCAGCTCGGTTTGTTACCGTAATACATTTACTTTTCCTAGGATGTTTGACGTGCCAGCAAACAGTTTTACATCATTGACTGACGTCAAAGCTTTCCTATGCGCAGGGATATGCAGTTTAATATTTTGTCGGGTCCCATACCTCCCTTACTCTTCTGGAGTGAAACTTTACAGTACTTGTAAATTCCAAACCCGGACACTTGTTTACATGCTCATAATCGTTTCCTTTCCCGAACTCTTCTGGTGATGTGTGTAGATGGGTTCCACCTTTTCACGTATCTCTAAAATATATCCTGCAAGAGTGTTGCTTATGAATTTTGTTTTGCAGAATGTTGAAGTCAAACCAGCTCACAGGAGGTTTGTCTGATGACATGTGCAAATTAACGCAGCTTGCCTATTTGTAAGTTCCATTAACCCTCATTCTGTGACTAGATCTTAGTATTCGTCCTTGCTGCGCACGGATGTCGTCTCCAGCAGCAATATACGGAGGGTTGTATTAGCAACAAGGAAGATTGTGGTCGAATGGCACCTCCCCCAAGAAAAATTAAGTGTTGCTCTTCTACAAAAGTCATTCAAGGAAGGGACGTCTTATCTCTGATAAAAATCCTTAGTCGAAGTTCTTCTTCTTTCATTACAGCAATGTCCGCGAAAACAAACTTTCGGGACCACTACCGGCTGGCATTGGAAACTGCACATCCTTTCAAATTTTGTAAGCAGCTAGTCAGACTCCATCACTCATTAATTCTCGTCAAAATTTTGCTGCCTCTTTTAGGTCCTGATATAACAGCATTTTAAAGTCTGGTTCCGTTATGTTCGCCGCAGAGACTTGAGCTATAACAACTTTTCTGGGGAGATACCGTATAACATTGGCTACTTGCAAGTCAGCACCCTGTAATATCTCCCTTCGCAACAACACCTTCGCATTTACAATGCTGCTTTTCATCTGCCAAGCAAAGTTTGAACGTGAAATGTGTGCAAATGACTACGTATCATTGGGTTGATAAAAATTAATAAAACTTTGCAGGTCGTTGGAATCAAACAATCTTACTGGAGTGATTCCTGATGTGTTAGGCCTGATGCAAGCCCTGGTGATACTGTAAGTTAGGCTGCTTAAATTGTTGCCTTGTGTTGTCCACAGCAAATCAAACGACCTGATCTATTTTTTTATAGTTCTTTTACACGTCACATGTATAACATACGGTATAAGGATTCAGTGAATATATATCATTTGAGAAACAGAAATTTTCGTGCTATCTTTAGTGAAATTAATATTGAGTTGTCGTGTCTCATGGTGTAGTGACCTAAGCAACAACAAGCTTGAAGGTCAGATTCCTCGATCACTAGGAAATTTGACTTCTCTTACGAAACTGTAAGTTGAATTCATTGCCGTCTTAGTCCCTCAATGATCCAAGCTAATGTCACCTGGAAGCCATGTATTCGAAAACTGTTGTTGAGCTGTTGCGAGTTCATGAATTTCACTTACATCTTTGAGTCGAAACGAAGAGGTCCCACGTTCTGAAAGAGTTTCTACAAACTTGATAATCTCTTGCAGATATCTGTACAATAATAACATCTCGGGACCCATACCGAAAGAATTTGGAAACATGTCGCGACTGAATTACCTGTAAGAATCTCCTCAGCTGATAAGTATGAAATCGTTATCTTCATTTGCTCCTCTGAGGACAATTCATTGTATATCTTGCAATAATTAGAAAATTGATTAGCTTTGACTTCACACATTTTCATTCTATGCAGAGAACTGAGCGCTAATAGTCTAATAGGGGAAATACCATCCGAAATATGCTACCTCACTGGTCTGTTCGAATTGTAAGTCTTCTCTGCCTTTTTTTGGTAATCTGGAAGTAAGATGCTTATTCAAAAGGTCACCATCTTCATCTTTAAGTCACTCCTACGAAACTTTCGAAGAGCTAATAGCTTTCATACTACATCTCCTTTTTGCAGGGATTTGTCTAATAATCAACTGAAGGGTTCTATTCCAGAGAACATCAGCTCACTTGCAGCTCTAAATCTTCTGTGAGTTTGCACATTATACTTTGTTGAAAGGCTCAATCACATACTTTCACAAATTTTTGACACGTTTAGAAGATGCTGCATTTTGGTGAATGCTCTCAGTACATGAAGCGCATCGTTGTTATGATCAGGAACCTGCACGGTAACCAGCTAACTGGAAGCATTTCTCCAGCATTGCAGCAGCTTACCAACCTTACCTTACTGTGAGCATACTTTCAGATTTTATGAATGTTATTTCAAATGCAACGTGTCCCCATATATTGGCTGTTACATGAAGATTCAAGGTGCAGTACTCACCAGATAATCGTTGTTTTGACTAGAAATCTGGCCTTCAACAACTTCACCGGAAGTGTGCCAGAGGAGATTGGCATGATTGTGAACCTGGATATACTGTGAGTTGACGCTCTCCCCTTTGCTACTCTGAAAATACGGCTTCTCTTACACCTGAGATGTATTGGAAGAAAATCATATCTGTCGAATTCTTGCATTGCATTTCTTCATTTCTTAGCTTCATGTCGTATGCATTTGAGTTTTAATTCTATTAATGTGAGTTTTGTCGACTGCCACTTGAGGTGAAGCTTTGAAGCAGTTCATTGCATCGGATTGCTGATATCAGTTTCTGTGCAGAAATTTGTCGAAGAACAGTCTAACTGGACAAATACCTCCTTCAATTTCGAATCTCGAGCATCTGCTTGAAATGTAAGATAATAAACAGACGAATGTACGGAAGTTCTAATTGTTGCTTAATTTTGACAAACAGTGTCTTCCAATTGTGAGTGTAAAACTGGTTCACTAGCATTAACAAACTTTACTTGTGAAACCAGAGATCTACAGAACAATAAGTTGAGTGGAACTATACCAATTGCGCTTGGCAACCTGAAGAGTCTTGGCTCCCTGTAAGTTCCATGCTCCTCACTAGATCGAGTAGATCCAACCGCTTAATTGAAACCTCTTTTAAAAACTACGTAGAAGTGGATTAAGACTATGAATTGATCCTAAATATTGGATTATTTTGTTTGTTTACTTCATTTAAAGGCTTAAATTTTTAGGGATAAACATGTTGTATGTTTCTAATTGTGTTGGTGGCAGTGATTTGTCGCAAAACCAACTCCAAGGACCTATCCCTCCCGAGCTTGGCAAACTGCTGGAACTATCCTACTTGTGAGAGCTTGATACATCTGTTCTTTCTCATCTCTTATAATTGTATTGTAGTCCATTGACAGTATTGAGTACAAACAGTCATACGTCTCAACATGTTCATCAGTAGGTTTGGCTAACTATCAGATTCGTACTGATGTAATTTTCAAGTGGCTAAGGTTTAGCTTGGAATATATTTGTGAACCATTTTGAGATGGTTGATTGTTCTAAGCTTTCGCGCTTATTGAGACAAGTATTCACGTGAAATATCATCTGCTTCAGAATTCTTCAATAGTTGAGCGTTGTGAGAGTGCAGTACTGGTATTCAGAATGTAAATCCTGTTTATTAATATTTCAATACATTATTACAAGTCGCGTCTTAGTGGAGAGTGTGTGGTCATTTAGCTCACTATCACCTTCTCAAAATATGTTTTGCAGGAACCTATCTAACAATCATCTCTCGGGCACTATTCCTCGAGATCAAGTCTTTTCCAGATTTCCAACCAGCAGGTAAGGTGTTCAAAAGTAATGCTTGTCTCGTAGGAATTGCAGAGGTCCTCGCAACTAGAAAGTTATACTGAAATATTGTCTCATCTCTCTCATTCTGGCTACTTCTCGTTGTGCAAGTTACATTACACCTGAACAAGTTGTGTGACGGTTATCAGCTACTTTGGGAACCCCTTGCTGTGCTTAAACTCCACATCACCTTGTGGACTAAACTCTCAGCAGCCCGGAGAAATCGCATCACAACGCCCAGGTATGCGACACCTTCATGCTTGATATTAGTCAGAGATCCCATTAACTTTTCAATGGTGTTTTAATGATGAAGCCAGTTAAAACAAATTTCAAATCCTGCGCAGGAGCCCTTGGGCCATCCGCTACATGGGGAATTACGATATCAGCACTTATCCTGCTCGCTCTCCTTACTGTTGTGGCTATTCGATATTCACAGCCACATGGATTCAAAATATCTTCGAATAAAACAGCCCAAGGTATGTGATTCTCTGAACTGAAGAACTCGTGTGAGTATGCATTTATTTTTTAGGTGTTGGACTGTGAGACGCCTCAGGTCTGTGTTTATTGGTTGTAACACCTTAGAACCTTATTCGGAAATTGGAGAGTTCACTGTACTAATTAGAACTGAGAGATTGGTTGTAAGCAGGTCCACCAAGTTTTGTGATATTTCACCTAGGAATGGCTCCTCAATCTTACGAGGAGATGATGCAGATTACGGAAAATCTTAGTGAAAAATATGTGATTGCGAGAGGAGGTTCAAGCACGGTTTACAGGTGTAGCCTTAGAAACGGCCATCCTATTGCAATTAAGAAGCTTTACAACCAGTTCTCACAGAATGTGAACGAATTTGAGACAGAATTGATAACATTGGGAAACATCAAGCATCGAAATCTTGTGACTCTGCGAGGATTCTCAATGTCCTCCATCGGGAACTTTCTCTTCTATGATTGCATGGATAATGGAAGCCTTTATGATAACCTACACGGTGAACTATTTTACCAAATCCTTGCTTTGGGACTCACTTGCGTGGGATATTCTACGTTCCACCTGTAAGCAGTTTTCACTTGACGTGTATGTTGTGTATGAGTTATGTTTATTTTGATGCATTTTGGTGACTTGAATTCAGTAACTTGGTGATGTAGGTCGTGTGAAAAACAAGCTCGACTGGAACACGAGGCTCAAAATCGCATCAGGAGCAGCACAAGGACTGGCGTATCTTCACAAAGACTGCAAACCCCAAGTTGTGCATCGTGACGTGAAATCATGCAACATTCTCCTGGACGCAGACATGGAGCCACATGTGGCCGATTTTGGCATAGCAAAGAACATCCAGCCAGCTAGGACCCACACATCCACTCATGTTATGGGCACGATTGGATATATAGATCCCGAGTATGCCCAGACGTCTCGCTTGAATGAGAAGTCAGACGTCTACAGCTTCGGCATTTTACTTTTGGAGATTCTCACCAACAAAAAAGCAGTCGACGATGAAGTGAATCTCCTTAACTGGGTACCCTAACTTCATAACCTTCATGAGGAATCAAATTGTTGCACTGAAATTTGCACAAAAGATCGTTTTGCGTTTGGAAACTAAGATTAGGTTTTGTCTCATTTTTAGGTCATGTCCCGATTAGAAGGCAAAACAATGCAGAATGTGATTGACCCCTACGTCACAGCCACTTGCCAAGACCTGGACTCGCTGGAGAAGACTCTCAAGCTGGCCCTTCTTTGCTCCAAGGATAACCCCTCGCATCGTCCATCAATGTACGATGTGTCTCAAGTGCTGCTCTCTCTGCTACCACCACAGTACTCAGATGATTTTCACACTTCGAATTCGTTTCCTTCGACTCAACGACGCTACGTTGACATGTACAGCACCAAGCACACCGAATCGTTTTCTCTGAGTAAGACCTCATCTGGGGACACACTTTTGTACCAGTTCAAAGAAGCGATTTCCGGAGAATTTCCTCAGCCTCAGGACCAGAATCTGCAGCGACATGATTGACGAGGAATGGATAATCCGAAAACATAGAAGGGTTGGATATGGATAGTAATTAGATCGGCATGCCGCATCACGATCTGCAGCAGGCTGAACTTCTGGTGGTCTTCCGAAACAATTCGATGACGTGCTAGTCCTCACAATGACGAGCATTTCATAGAACGAGAACGCAATGCCTGTTGAAGGATGCTCTCCATCCAGACATCGAGCGGCAATGAGCGTCAGGCTCGATCTCAAGCCTTGAAAGCGGTGGAGTGAGCCTGCAAGGTTCTGATCCAGAACACATGGAGCACATCTTGTGGCAAAGTTTTGACAGAGGATTGCTAGAGGGATAGATCTATACAGAGGCGATTCTCAGAGATAATCGTCCAAAGAGGATCTCATCATAGAATTGAGAACATGTGAGGTCCATGCTCAGTTGTAATTATACCACCCTGTTGCTACCATATGCACTCTCAGTTTTCAACATTGAAGTGCAGTTGTACCAATACTTAATGTTCCTTTAAAGTCTAGATTACGGTAGCTTCTCATGCAGGCTATTACATTAATCTCTTAGACTTGTTCATGTGGTAATTAACTAGATAACTGCGCTGGTTATGAAGCTTTAGAAAGGAGAAAATGGAGTTCTAATAAGCAAGACCCTCCGTAGCTTGCAGACTATTGTTACAGCAAATGCATTCTATAGTATGTATTGTATCCAGTGTTTTCAGTAATGAGAATGTCGGTTCACTTGTAGAAAATCAAACTAGTCCACATCCATGTGACTAGGGTTAAACCGCTCAAGTGCACATGGTTCAGTAGAATATGCAAAGCAACGAAGAGCTAGTCTTCGTGTGTTCATCCATCCAAGCGTGAACTCCTGCATTACCTCCCCTCTATAATGAACTTCTGGACTGTTCTGCTGGGCTTAAGTATCAGAAACAGGAAACTCACTCGGCGCCACTTCATTGGCTCCGTCTCCTTCCAAGATGTAGCAATTTAAACCACCCCTGAAAATGGGTTTGCGGTCTGGATGTATCTCGACGAGGTGCTTGGTGGGTCGTGAGTGAGTAGTTAGGGTAGGAGCAGGGATAGAGATCCAACTTGCTGATCTAAGTGAGAGGTTGTGAATTATAGTGCCGCGGAAGAAAGATCATGACGTGGGTTTTTTCGAGGTGATGGTGGGAATTTTAAGGATGAGGTGATATTGACATGGGTGATTTGAGGTGATTGTGGAGGATTCTGTATGGAGGGAGTTGTTTAGGTTTTTAGGGGATCGGGAGGTTTAGGAAGATGGTGAGTAGTGAAACGAAGATCAGTGGGTTTAGGATGGGGCTATCACGGTGGCGTGGGGGTGGCATTATTCTGCTCGCAGTGGCGTTGATTGTTGTGTTGTCGCTCCCTGCTCTTTGCACCGCAGCAGCTAATTCTCCTAAGAAAGATGGCTCAACCATCTTGTTGTTTTTGGGTTCAGACTCGGATGATAATAGAGACGATGGTAGTCTTCCAGATGGCGAGGATGGGCCATCTGATAGCTTGCAGGGGAAGGCTGAGGATGCCCCTCCCGAATGGGATGAGTTTAGTGACTCTCAAGATTCGCCACGGACTGACGAGGACTTGGATTCGGGATCGTGGAGCCAGGTCCTTGAGGAGCCATCTATTTGGGATTCACGTAATACAAAGGTACGATGCATGCGCTCATTGCCCGTGGTTCACATTCTGTATCGCAAAACTTGATTCTCGGTTCAATCTGATCTGCTGTGTTAACTTTATAGATTATACGTAATACATTTTAAGGTGGTTTATTATTATTTTAATTATGTTTTTACCGGTTGTACGGTCGCTTTCTAAATTTTGCGCTTATTTCCTGATTTCTTTGCTTATATTCTGTGTTGATCTGGGAATGATATGAATTTGTGTATTTACTTTGGTGGTCATTTTTCACTTTTTGTCAGCTAGGAATTCTCTACTGTTAAGAACAATATTGTTATTGCTCAGATTTGATTGGATTATTTTCATTTTCTAACTCTTGTCTTTTCTTGTCTTTCTCTTCTTTCTATATTATCTCTCAAACACTAACTATTTTTGAGCTTTCTGTTTGAGTCAATGTGCTGCTCTATTTCAGTTTGCTTTGGGGATTCGGAAGATGGTTGAGGCGGTGGATGAGGAAGACCCCCGCATGCTGAACAATGCAATTGAAATTTTGCGGTCAGAGGCAGTTGATGGAAATGCTCATGCTCAGTCAACTCTTGGTTTTTTGCACTGGATGGCAATCGGTGTACCTTATAGTGACGCGAAGGCTTATCTCTACCATGAGTTCGCTAAAGAAGGCGGAAATCCTCAGTCTAAAATGGCACTGGCGTATCGCCACTATCGCAACCAGGTATGAGTTTTGCTTCACATCTGGATTAATGCGAGATGACTGAGTGACGGCAAAGATGGCAGAAGGAATGCAATTTCCTATTCAATTCAACACCTTGGACCGCTTTTCTCCGCTGAAAGGGCTTTCAAATCACTATACATGGTTGTATATTTGTGACGTTATCTACTGTGAGATTGTGCAGGAATATGAAAAAGCTGTGAAGCTTTATTCTGAGCTCGCTGTCATTACCATGACAAGTTTTGTAAGTTCCCGAGAGGGTCCTCTTTTAGAGTACGTGCGGTTGAATTATGGATTAGAGGAGAGCAAGGATGTGCGGAAAAGGTTCAGAGGGGAAGACGACGATGACTTCCAGTTTTTGGAGTATCAGGCTCGCAAGGGACATCCAGATTTTATGTTTCAGCTTGGGGTATTTTACTACTATGGCTTGCGAGGGGTTCGACGTGATCACAGTAAAGCACTCTTCTGGTTGCTGAAGGCAGTGGAGAAGGGCGAGTCTCGCGCTTTCGAATTGATTGGGGAGATTTATGCTCGGGGATATGGTGTAGAGAGGAATTATACGAAAGCCCTGGAGTGCTTTAAGGCTGCTGCTGACCGGAAGCAACACTCTGCCCTCAATGGAATAGGTTTTCTTTATATTAAAGGGCAAGGTGTGGAAGGCAAGAACTATACGAAGGTATTTGTCTTGTGACAAATGTGAACTGCTTGGGATGTCACTTAATAGGTTGTTTGCGTTCGTAATTTTCGCCGCTCGTCTTGGTTTTCGGATAAATTACTTGTAGTATCTTTCAGGTTAAACTGGCAGCTAATTTGTCAGATTGGTATACAGAATGTTGTTGATGTGGTTGTTCTGACTTTCGTTTGTGATCATGGATGCCAGGCAAGGGAGTATTTCCAACGCGCTGCAGAATCTAGCAATGTGGATGGATTCTACAATCTTGGCATCCTCTACTTGAAGGGTCTGGGAGTTGAGAAGGATTATGCACGTGCTAGGGATCTCTTGGTGGACGCTGCCAATAAAGGGCATTCTAAAGCTCGGTACTATCTTGCAATTATGTTGCACAAGGGCTCGGCGGGCATGAAGAAAGATCTTACGCACGTACGTCTAGTTACATTGGCTCTTATTGTTAACGTTGTTGTTATCAGTTGAACCATCTTGTATGCGCTACTCAGGTATTGTGAAGGTTCCTTGATACTGGATTTAATTGCATGAATTAAAATTTTACAGGCTGCTGCATTATATAAGCTCGTAGCAGAGAGGGGGCCTTGGGGAAGATTGATGCGTCAAGCCTTGGAGTTTTACATTAAAGGCAATGTTGGCAAAGCACTGTTACTTTACTCTCGTACTGCAGAGCTTGGCTATGAAGTGGGTCAAAGCAATGCAGCTTGGCTGCTTGAGAAGTACCGGGGTAGGATCTGTATTGGAAGTTCTGGCATTTGCACAACAGAAGAACGTCACGAGCGAGCTCACAATCTGTGGCGACATTCTTCCGAGCAGGGCAACGAGCATGCGTCGTTGCTATTAGGAGACGCTTACTATTATGGCCGAGTATGTTTTCAGCTGAATTTCTCCCAAATATGCATGTCTATCAATGTCTTGATCTTCGATTCGAATTTAATTTGAGCAGCTGTTCTTATATAAGTTGTGCAAGGAACAAGGTTGCATGCTTGAGAGAATGCACCTTTACCTGACCGTTGTTTTTAAGTTATTGCAATTGGATAAACCGAGCTATAGAACGAATTCAAAACTTTAGAACTTACGCATGTGATCTGATGGTTTTTGGACCGGTCAACGGCACTTCTGCTGTGATTCGGTGGGACTTATTTTTGCATCTCTGTTTTTTGTTTTTAGGGAGCAGCGAAAGATCTGGAGAGAGCAGGAGAGGCTTACATTAGAGCAAAGGAGAAGCATAGTTCACAAGCAATGTTCAATCTGGGCTACATGCACGAACGAGGCTTGGGTTTACCATTGGATCTCCATCTTGCGAAGCGGTACTATGATGAAGCACTTGAGGAGGAGCCAGCAGCATTTGTGCCTGTCACTCTTGCTCTCACCAGCCTCTGGTTACGCCAGCATTACAGCGGGAGCTTTCTGGTACAGTGAATCATTTGATTTGCACTAGACTGAATGACAGTACTTTTAGGTGCTCCTGTAACTGGTTTCCATGATTAACATATTGTAGGATGATATCAGTTTCAACAGCTTAGTGTCGCATGCGCCGTCTCATGGATTAGTGTTGTGCCATTCAGCTCTAGTTTAATGAACGATAATCTCATGCGCCTCATTAAAAAATACAAACAAACAAACAAACAAACAGAACAAATCTATGCAAAGTTTACTATAGATATATATATTGGGAAGGAATTGTTTTGTGTGACGATGTTCTCAATGGTGATTTGTTAATTATTGCAGGTGAAAGTCATCGATTCCTTGCCAGACTTGCAAACGAACCTTGAGGAGTGGTGGAACAAAATGACCGTGGATGAACTTGATGCACTGTTAGTCACTTTACTCATGAGCTTACTATTTGTTGTGTACGTCAGACAAAGACATCGGCAGGAGTATGCAGCAGCAGCTGCTGCTGCTGCTGCCCCAATTCCCATGGTGCCCCCGCAGTGATCCCTCTTCCTAGCTCTACCTGGCTTTTGTAGTAGTTCGCTTGGTTGCTGAATCATCAACTAACTTCAAGTTTCGGTTGGTGGTTCTCACGTATTTGAGGATTAGAACCGGGTGCACCATGTGGTGAGAGCACTTGCTTTTCCTGTTGCCCTCCTTGCATGGGTGCGCCCTTGAGCTCCGCTTCAAACACTGAAGTGTCATGTACAGTTTATACGCTTCTCGACTGAGAATCGTGCCTCGACAGGCCATCATCTGTAGAGTAATGCTTTCATTTAGAAATCCTCGAGCTGAACTTAAGGTTCGGAGATGATTGTCGCTGGTCTGACGAGAAGCTATCATTCATGAAGAGCACAAAGATTAACATTGTTTTTTTATAGAATTATTCCCCCTTGTATAGTGGCCATCTTAAGTTCGGTATGAACTGTTGAGAACAAAACCCCAAGTACGCAACCACTTAGAAGATGCTTATAAACAAATCATTGCATTGGGAAAAATGACACAGTAGATCCAACCGAATAATGAACTGTTATGAATTGTTACCGCACCTTCGATTGTAACAATTTTGAAAAATTTGATTGTTGTGTGGTTCAGTTTTCTACAATGCAAATATACATTGTTGTTTTTACGTATGTTGTGTGGATAATTGATGTTGAGCTGTAACATTTGCATGAGTTTGAAGAATACCTAAGAATTTATTATTGTTGGGACGTATGTAGGATAAGATATTTATGATTTTCATCGAACACAATTCTTCTTACAAGTTTTATTAAATTTTGATAAATATAAATTAAATTGTAGTAATTTTACCAACAAAAAAAATAATTTGCAAAAATGTGTGTTGATTAGACTTTTATACTAATAATACAATAGTTTTTAAAATGTATAATTCTTGTAGATACTATTTAAAGTAGAAGTATCTAAAATTTAATTGGACGACTTCATCTTAATTTCAAATTTTCTGTTTGTATATATATATATATATATATATATACTATTGAAGGCATTTGTTTTTCATTTTAATAAAATAGTTGATTGTATACACAAAAAATTAACATAATTAGAATAAGCTTAAAAAAACTCAAAATATTGTTACATGATCCTTAGAAACATTAAAGAACTATGAGATGGTTATTAAATTTAGGCAAACAAACAAATAAGATAAAGAAAATTTTAACTGAAAAGTAGAAAGACTAAAACTTACTTGTAAACAAAATTATCGAAGCCATAAATTGTAAAAGATTATCAAACTAAAAATTAATAGAAAGGGTTTCCGCATGAGGTGTGGCTTTGTCCGCCTCTGCAATCTGGAATTTTGTTTTCAGTTCTAATCACCCACTGAATCTGAAGATATTTGTGCACACAAAAGGCTGGACCAAGGTTCTAAAAGGCACTGAAACCAGCTGTGCTACCCCCAATCGACCCTGGGAAGAGTCTTGGCGATTCGAAACTCGCCATGTGGACGGCAATTACAGAGCTTTTGTGCACAACCATGCAAAATGGATGGTATCTACGAGGGACTGGAAAGGAAGATACGTAACCTACGATCCCCCTTGAAGACATGTCACACAAGTCCTGAGTCTAGCGTGGACACCCTCCGCACACCATAGCCACTCAAACGTTTGCAATACCGGTCACATTCATCATGCGTCAGTAAAGGCTTGCAATCGGCTTGGACGAAACGCAAGTTACATGAATCGATGGTTTGAATCGCTGGATGGTTGGAATATTCACTTTATCGAGAAGTATATTGAAGGAAACGAGAAATGAAGAGGAGTTATTCGCAAACCCCGAAGTGAATTGTATTATTTGAACAACACATTGTCCAGAAGGGGCTGAGCGACGTTGAGCTTTAGAACCACATGGCGTCGAGCGGGACAGACTCTCGGACGGAAGAAATATTCAAACCGATTGAGCCGCAGGTGAGACGATTCTACAGTGAATTAGTTTTATAAGGCTGTCTTGCGAACTTTGTGCCCATTAAATGTTTAGTACCGCACAATTACTTTCCCAAAATTGTAAACTTCTCGAATTTTCAAAGTTTCGTCTATTTAGTCATACTCTTTAAAAATGCATGCCTAAGTAATAGAAGCAGAGAGAGGTCAATGTCCTCCATCATCTCTTCATGAAAAGAACTCAAGCAATGAAACGAAATTGTGGCACTGATATGTAAAGGGCTGGGTGGAGGTAGAGTGCAGATGACACAACAGAATCCCACGGCAGAAGGGAGGATCTGACAGCAGACATGGACGTGAAAGCTCCTGGCATCATGCAACGAATGGCCGAGGAGGTGCAAGCTATTGCAGTGGAACTGTGGCCAGATTTCCTATCAACGAAAAAGTAAGGGTTGCAGTCGCCGCTGCCCAATGCATCGAAGAGTTAATAGAGCAGACTTGGACCTCTCTGGCATGATAATGTCACGCTAGCAATAGAAGGACGGTGGCTTCTGTTCACCAATAGTTGTGAACACATTCCTTCACATAACCTTTCATTGTAAATTTTGAGTCACACTTTGAAAGCCATGTAAAGACGCAACCGTTGTATTCAACTTCTAAGGTGATCATTTTGGAATTCCCATTGCACACTAACTGGGTGGATAAACGTTCGCCGTCTTGACTGAGAAATGTGGTTTCCTGCAGGTGAGTAGAAGCAGTTTGAAGATGGTGCTAATTAGAGCTAGGAAGCCATCAATAGTGACGCGAGTGCTCCTTGTAATTGCACTAACCATACCAGTCTTGGTGGCTCATCGGTGACTGCGTGACCAAACCACTTGTTTTCGTCAATGACAATTCAGAACCTCGTCTTCGTCATCACTTAGAGGAAAAAATCCAGTGGAAATTAGGACAGAAGGAGGAGGGAATGAGAGAATGAGGGAGGGAGGGACGGGGGAGTAGAGAAGAGTGGCAGCGGCAATAGGGAAGTGTTGTCCTGTTTCTTCATCAAACCATTAACAAAACAAAAAGGCGGACAACGAGAGTGTCCCAGTCAGTCAAAGGCCCATCTTGCGACCAGGAGGGAGGTTTAGGGCTGCACTTAGCTGGGCTGGGCTGGGCTGCTGGGTGCAGGAAGAGGGACGAGAGTCTCGCCTTTCTTTTCAATGCGTGGACAAATTCATCGACTTCTATACACATGTAATATCTTGCTAGAATTGAATTATTCTGCAGGAATACCTCAGTTGGGGGGGAGGGGGTGTGGCTCCGTGAATCGCGGAAGGCGCAGCCCCGGCAGATCCGATATTATCGGAATCCCTCAAATGTGATCGCAACTCGAAGACTGATTCAATATGATTGCCAGCATTGCATTCTACGTCTCTTGGAGTGTATAGTAAACTAGATTCTGTGAATTTTTAGTTAAAGTGGAGCAGTTTCAAGTAGTTGGCGGGTTAGAGCGCAGGATAGTAGTGACAACGTAGTTGTCCGCAAATCTGATGCGAGACCAAACAATCATAGTGTAGAAAATTTAGCAAACAGAGAAGATACCACTTCACCAAGATTTTTTTAACGTAGCCTCACTGCAGTACCAACCAAGCAAGGGAACGACGGGGAGTAAGAAATTGAAACACACAAGAGCCGCCGTACAAACCTAGAACTTGGCGAATACCACCAAACACGGAGCAAAAATCTCACAGGCGAGCACGGAGCAAGTTACATCCCAAGACCAGGTAACATCTAAATCAACTCGTGTGCCTGAAACAGATACCGAAGTCGACCCAGTGTCTCCGACACCGGACAACAGCTTTATACCAACAATCAACACAACCTAGGACAAGCAGGCTCACATAACCTTCGAACCCAAAGGCCAGAACACCATCATATACATCACAGAATCAGACTCTTTCCCCGATGGTGGGGAGTCAGATTGGGATATCTTTCAATTACTCCAGAAACAGGTACAAGGAAGACAAAAGAAAGCAGAAGATGTTTTCCAGACATATCCCTCACTAGGTCTCACACACAAGGTAACTGAAAGGGAGGACGTCGCCATGCTCATAAAGCGATTCGAGTGCTTAGATTCGGGTGGTGTTGGCTCAGGTGGTGGCATATGGTGAACTGGATCTACTGGATGGATCTGTAGCAAGGTACATTCCTCGTGTTCCTGGGTTGCTATGGGTTCAGCATAGCAATCCGGGAGGTATCTAAGCACTCGACTTGCCACCATGTATGTTGCTAAATCCTATCTTTTAATTCACAAATGCTTACTTTGAAGTCACCAAAACCCTTGTTAAGATTGCAAGCAGCCTCCTCAAAGCTCATTGGATATGGTATTCGACCAATAGAGATGAAGTTCTCCATTTTTTGCCTTCATTAGACCATGCATTGCTTTCATCCCTTCCAATTAGCTTCCTAATAGTTTAGATTTTTATCCTTAGGCTTCCACCTTCTCTCAAGGCTTCATGCTAAACATTTAAGTCTTATTTTTATTCTTTTTAATACCAAAATCAAAATAAGTAAAAAAAAACAAAGTAAAGTTTCTTATACCAACTCTTTTTAATTTAATCTACTAACCACTCTATTACACATCTAGATTTATTAACATATAATATATTTTAACTAATTTTTACATACTATAAGCATTTATAATATGATAACGTTATTACAATTCAATAACAATAGTAATGATTTTTCGATCTAAAAATTTGGAAGTAGAAGACATGCAAATTGATGAGGTATGTTATAAACCTCTTACTGAACAAAAAAAGACTGTTCATTATCAAGAAGGATTATATTTATATTATAAAGAAGCTAAGTACATTGCTCAATATTATCCAAAGAAATGACACAACTACAAAATGAAGAGTACAATTGTCAAAGTTGAAAAACAGTCAAAAAACAAAGTTGTCTAGCTACAATAGAGACCATTGTCGTATAGCATGATTTGCTATCTGAGAATACACTACATATCTAGCTATAGAGATTTTAGCTTAAAACTTTATATGAATCTTTTCTTAGCTTCCAAAATTCTTTTAATTTGCATAAAACTCAAAATATAACAAAATCCCTTCAAAACATATTTTTTCCATAAAGGATTTTCTCATCTTAAACTTTAGAAATTCATAACTATTGATCTAGCCATTTAGTTTGTTTCAAATTTATAGGATAGGTAGAATTTATCCTTAAATTTTACCACAAAAAAAACCAATTGCAAATTCACTTCCGATCTTCAGGCATGTAAGAAACCCTAGCAGATGCTCTAAATCCTAATTTATAAGTACTTGAGCACTATTTTCTTAATATCTTAAGAATCCAATACTCAAATGCCATCAAACTTAAGCAAAAAGTTTATTAACATGAATATATACATTTTCTGAAATTTTGAGCCAAAACCTTATCAAATTTCTCAAGATATAGCTCAAGACACAACCACTAGTAAATCGGGTCACTTACTACTCTTAGATTGCATGCACTAACTTTAAAATCCAATATCTCTTTCATCTCAATTTGGAATCCAGCAAGAAGTATTCAAAAATTATATTTGCAAAAGTATTCTCTCCAATCACAGTTATCAATCCTCAATTGCTTTTTGTATGCATGTATTATGTCAAAAAGA